AGACAGAAGGTTGCAAAAAATGTTTCTTTAGGATGGGTACCACCATGTGAGGACCTGCAAGAGGGGACAATTGCACTCCAGGATGTTATGTTAGCATACATGGGTTGTGAGCTACAGCCTCACACAATTCTGCATTGGTGGCTAATGAGTTGATGGAAATAGAGGCTGAGTCTATTAGGCATACATAAATCTCTTGTACACCTTGCATCACCAGCAGCCTTCTTCTGTCAAACCCATATGTTGTATGTACAGTGTGAGCAGGGCTGCTTACACTGCACAAAAAGGCCATTTGCAGGTTGAACAGCTTGTTTCACGGGCAAGTGCCAGAATGCTAACCAGGCTACCCCAATTTTGGCGCTCCTGTCTTTCAGTGGTCACATAAAGGGACTACCCAGATTTTAATGTGTTATCTTTGATAGGAGGCATTTAATCTAAACAGAAAACAGAAAGGCAGTAGCAATGGGCAAGGCACTGGAGGGTTAAGTATGCAGAGCAAGACTGTTTTTGACAGTACTGTTCTCCTTGGGAAGTAGTTTGAAGTATTTTTGTTCAGGGGTGGAGGTTGTTTTTTTTCCACCACAATCGAAATGACCTTATATATTCTGATAAGTTTCTTCTTCACGAAGAGCAATACAATTTATTAGTCTTATTAATTCACTTTTACCATCAGGATTTCAATTGAATAACCTTGTTTTGCAACTTGTGGTCCTGAGATACGCTGATGAAAACTACCAGATAACATTTGATGATTTTCTAAATTGTTTGGTTCGCCTGGAAAATGCTTGCAGTAAGTATTAAGCTTTCTATATGTTTCCAGTCATTTTAACATTTTTAAAGGACAAATTGGGACTCTTTCATTTTAGGGGTATGAGTAGGTGTATTTTGAGACTTATTGCTGTGGAGCTCAGTTATACACTCAGAAACACCAACATTATTGAGATTCTAGAAAAAAGGGGCATATGATTCGAAAAGAGAGACATCTGGGGGGCCGTAGGTTTTGTAATCCCAAGTCAAACTCCTTCACCAACTCCTCTGGCCACTTTCCTTTAATACAAACTCATATGTTTAATAAAAATCTTACTATATACCACCCATAAAAGGCATTTTGGAGTAAATTTTAATTTACAAAACTGTAAATAAATAAATCATTTTAAATTTTGCAGCCTGCAAAATAAAATGTGGCCCGTGTTTACTCTCTGTTGGGAGGGAAGAAGTTAATTATCAAGATTTATTTGTCATATTGTTAGTTTAAAAAATTGACTTGCTGCTTGTATTCTATGTTCTGTATTCACATATTGCAATCTTAATGCTCATCACTGTGTCTTTCTGTGTGTTAATTTCTCATTTGTTTCAGGAGTGTTCAAGGCAATTAATCAAAGCAACTCAGAGTCAATCAGTTTGAAACAAGCTGAGGTAATGCAAAACAGGATGTGCTTTCATTCATCACAAGAGAACACAAAGCAATGTCCAATGTAGGAAGCAATTAGATATGAAGAGGGGGGAATAGGCACAGGCATATACATTAATATAAAAGTGTACCTCTCTGTAAAATCTCTAATTTGTTACTTTTAATACATGTGATAAAATGTAGGCGGGTTTGTTACCAACATTTATTAGAATTATATAAGTTATATATGTTTTCTACTAGGACAATTGTAATCACTTTATTAGTCCTACCACATGCCAAAGTACTCCAATATCAGTGGCTTCCATTTTAATCTTTAACATGGGAGATACATGTATACATTTAATAATGATAACTTGATAATATAGTAACTCATATAGTAACTCTGGGTACCTGGATATTACATAGTTACATAGCTGAAAAGAGACTTGCGTCCATCAAGTTCAGCCTTCCTCACATATGTTTTTACTGTTGATCTAAAAGAAGGCAAAAAACCCAGTCTGAATCGCTTCCAATTTTGCAACAAACTAGGAAAAAATTCCTTCTTGACCCCAAAATAGCAGTCAGATGTCTCCTTGGATCAAGCAGCTATTACCCCACTAATTAGAAATTATATCCCTGTATGTTATGTTTTTGCAAGTATTTATCTAATTGCATCATAAAAAATTATAAAAAATTACATAATTCAAAATCCTTATTTAGACCCGACGGTGCTAGAGTGTCTAATTGGAAAATCCAAAGCATCTCTTCCTGTCTGATCCTGAGAATAAAATCACCTCCTCTGCAATCCCTACATACTCGTTTAATCCCAACAAATTCCAAGGCACTGGGGCCGTGTTTGTGTACCTTTTTAAAATGTTCAGAAACACTATGACATTCCAACCCTTTTTTAATATTATATATGTACTCTCTAAGTCTAATGATATTTAAGTGTTTATTTTCTTAATTTTTTTTTATTCTAGTTCATCAGTCTTGCAATCAACATTTAAAGGAAGAAGTGGAACAACACAACAAAACAGAGATTTATTTGCATTATTTGACTTCATTCAATTATATAATAATGGGAATGGGATGAAAACATTAAAATAAAAAACTCAGGTGTTGTATCGTATTTGCTACCACATCCCCACACATATACAGCATGCACAATGGCCCAAACAGCACATGTCTACCACATACATTTACATTTTATGTAAAAATATTCTGCGACACTAATATATTCTCACAACCCACTGTGTGGTGTACTTGTTTATTGTGCTGCTACAGTTTGAAGAATACATGCAGCAATAAAATGGTTTGGCTTGTTATAAACTGGTTCCTTCTAGATTGACCAATGGCATGCTGTAGTTCAGGGATGTCCAGGCCGCAGGCCGCATGCTGCCCGGTTACCGTCTATGATGCCGGTACACTGGGCGGCTAGGGTGGAAGGGAGCCCACTACATTCTGTGCTCCTGCTGTACAGCTCCTTCTTGCGCCCTGCAGTGAGCCGGCAGACCAGCAGCCACCGCTAGCCATCAGAGCCCTCCCTGAGCAAGGTAGGGAGGCTGGCTGGACCTCTTCAGTGCTAAATATGTGTGTAGGTGATTTATTTGTATGTTTTGTCAGTGACTGTGTGTGTGTGTGTGCGTGTGGGGGTAGATATGTCTGTGATTGTGTGTGTGTAAGTTTGTGATTATGTGTGTGTATATGTGTATCTGTGATTATGTGTGTGTGGGTCCCAAGAGTTCCCATAGACTTTAATGGTGACTTCTGCAGAGAAATAATTTCAAACGTTTTATTAAGTGATTTTGATCGATTGAAAAGCTTATATAAAGATATAAAATCAAGGCTTTAATGTATTCCCAGCTCATATTTATTTCACAGGTTACTAAAAAGAGACAACTCCAATTCCACAAATCTTTCTCAAAGCCACATTTAATCTTTTAAATAATGTAGCCATAAGGGTCTATAATTACTTGAGAACCATTGGAAAAATATTGTATTTCTCCTTTTTGTGATGTTCATCTCTTGTGTTCTGTTTTTTGTTTGTTTGTTTTTTGGGGGGAGTTTAGACAATGCAAGGATTGGGTGGAAGACACAGAAGTGTTCTTCTACCTCTATATATCTGAAGGGAATTTATATTGGCCATTGTAGTGGATAAACACGCTTGGTAATATGATATTTGCAATGGGTATCCTTAACTATAGCATTACTACTACAGACACCTTATATAACTAATAAAGTTGATGATTTTATATATTTCACTGCTAGGATACTCAGTGTACACAATTATGTACATTCTACCAAGCAAGAAATACATGTGTAATAACTGTTAACACCAGTAATTAAAAACAGGTTATATGAATGCCTTTAATGATTGTATATAGTACTTCATGTGTCTAAATATGCCAATTAATTCATAAGCAAAACTTTCCTAACTATGTAATAAACATTTATAAACTTACTATAAACTCAGTCAGCTTGCATTGTTAGGGACACCTCTCAGCTAGAGAAGTTTCTTCAGCCTCTGTCTTGCTCACCACAGATTAACATACACACAAAATCATCAAAAGATCTCCCTGCACAGCCCTGTTGGTACACTGAGCGTGATCTGTACCAATATTAGGTACAGACCACTTAAGTGCACCCCCACAGTCCCCCTGGCACTCCTGAAAGACTCCGAGCAACACAGCCAGATATGTGAGTCATTAACTGAGCACCAGAACCACAAGGACATTCTTTAAGTTGTGTGTACCTAATACCTGTGTATGGAGAGAGACAGGGATAGGAAGCTGCATCTATCCCTGCTTCTCTGCTGATTGAATCCACAGAGGAACAACACATGCAGGCAGAGACAGCCTACAGATCAGGTAAGTGAGGGATGGGGTGGGGGGGTTTAAAATAGCCTATAGGTTAGGGAAGTGAGGGATAGGGGGAGAGATATCCTATAGATTAGGCAAGTGAGGCATGGGGGGGAAGCCTAAAGATTAGGGGAGTGAGGCATGGCGGGCAGCCTATAGATTATGGAAGTGAGGCATGGGGGCAGCTTATAGATTAGGGGAGTGAGGCATGGGGGGCAGCCCATAGATTAGGGAGTGAGGCATGGGTGGCATATAGATTAGGGAGTGAGGCATGGGGGTTCAGCCTACAGATTAGGCAAGTGAGGGGGGCAGCCTAAAGATTAGGCAAGTGAGGCATGGGGGTGGCCTATAGATTAGGGAAGTGAGGCATGGGGGCAGCCTGTAGATTAGGGGAGTGAGGCATGGGGGCAGCCTAAAGGTTAGTGGAGTGAGGCATGGGGGGCAGCCTATAGATTAGGGGAGTGGGGCATGGGGGCAGCCTATAGATGTGGGGAGTGAGGCATGGGGGGGCAGCCTATAGATTAGGGGAGGTCAGCCTATAGATGAGGGGAGTGAGGCATGGCGGGCAGCCTATAGATTATGGAAGTGAGGCATGGGGGGCAGCTTGTAGATTAGGGGAGTGAGGCATGGGGGGCAGCCTATAGATGTGGGGAGTGAGGCATGGGGGGGCAGCCTATAGATTAGGGGAGGTCAGCCTATAGATGAGGGGAGTGAGGCATGGGGGAGCAGCCTATAGATTAGGGGAGTGAGGCATGGGGGGGTCAGCCTATAGATTAGGGGAGTGAGGCATGGGGTGAAAGGGTTAATGCTGTTCTGGACTCAACTCCCCTCGATTCTCCGGTCACCACATCAATTGACGGGAGTTCTTGTTTAGCAAATTAAGACACAGACACGAAAGAGTGCTTAACAAGTTCTCAGTGAGTATATTTTCAGGTCTAGCATTTATACACAGTTTGTCACTCAAGCAGCGAGATTTATCGTTTCCTTGTAGTTAATAGTACATACTTGTCTGACATTAAAAGATAAGCATTTGAATAAAGACGGGACAGGAACATCCTGAGGTCGAGCAAGGTCATACATCCTGTAGAAGGGAGGCCTCTCAAAAGCATGTTATAGAATACATCAAGGTCAGCATAATTATTTCAAACATTATTTTAAAGCATATAAAGCACAAAGAGTTAACTATTTCATATCCTTACATTCCCCTCTTTGAGAAAAAAATTTGCTCATATTATTGATAAAATCTTCCCAGGACAGAGAAACTTCCACATGGTATTTTCAGGGGTGCTAGTCAGTCCCTGCGGGACTTTCATTAATTTCTTCAACTCGATTCCCATGTGGTAATTCCTAAGGCCCAGTTTTAAAGATGGGTTGATACCCTCCAGTGGCAGAGAGGAGAATTTCCAATTGTTTCTGTTCTGTATTATGGATTAATTTCTGTATTCTCTTCCTCAATGTACAAGTAAAGTTATATAGAATTATACATAATAAAATCAGGACTATAATAACAAGAGAATAGAAGAATGATTTCATTATCTGGGATCCAGTAGGGGACCAACCAGTAAAAGCATCGTACAAATGATGGGCTAAATAATTCTGAATTTGTGAACTCACCTTAAGGAGTTCTCCTTTTAGGATATGTGTGGCTATCTGTGTGTGTACTATAGCATCATTATGTGTAACAAGGATGTGTATTAAGGAGACAATAGTCTCAAGAGGTAAATGGTAATCTTTAAAAGGCAGAGAACCTAATAGGTCATTAATATGTTTGTCTAAAGTGATTGTGTCGCTGAAATAATATTGGGTGCCATTAAGATCTAACCAGGTAACATTAGTCAAACATCCTGAAAAGGGGAGAGGTAGATTAATACTTGTATTACAAGTAATTATCTTTGTAGGGAGGTTAGTTGCCAAACAGATATGACGTGTGCTTCATGCTGGCCGTATTTAACTTTTTCTTGAGGGTCTCCATGTCTATACTATTTAGTATACCCATAGTGGTTCCAGCACCTCCTAACAGTGTGTCATACCATTCCCTTTTCTGCCTTTTATTTGCTGTGTTACATAATGTTAAAACAGGAGTAGTGATTTTTAATTACACATGTACAGCTTGTATTAACACATGTGGACGGAATAGGTGTGTGTGTGTGTTGTTGTTGAATTTTGGTTCTATGGTAGAGGATAAAGGACAGTAATAAGGTGTATAAGGTAGTGTACAGTTCTCAATTGCAGTGTCGTTCATAATTACTAACATTTGTCCCCTTTTCCAATTAATGGTACCAGTTGTATAATCATTATTAAAAGTAATAAGGCCTGTCTGTTTACATTGATATGCAACCTTACTAATTTTCTTAAAATATATATCCCAAACCTGTTGAGGTGGTTTTTTCTTACCATCAGAACTTATATTAAATAAGGTAGCACAAATACCAGTGTAATTAGCAACCTTAATTGTGCAAGCTCCTGTGATATAAGATCTAACAATTTTCCGTAAACCTTCAAACAAACATAATGCTTTGGTTTCATTAGCTGTGGACACATTCCATATGGGTATTGGTACTTATAAGGGTTATTATTTGTCCAATTTATCCAAATGCATTCAGTCAATGAGTGATTGCATATTACATGCTGATAGGTGGTGGAGAAAGATTCTTGAGGGAGCGTGTGTGACGAATGCTAGATGAGGGGCTAAGGCCTAATTGGGCTGGGGGTATTGAAGAATTGTTCATCGTGTCAGAGTCTTTTCTCCAGAAACAAACAGGCGTCAAACTTCCCATTGACTTGTACTCATAATGGCATTCTAGGAACAATATCAGAGGGAGTATAACAACTCCAGAAAGCATAGCTCACAACATAATCTTGGTCTCAGGTACGTATGATCCTCTCAATCTACGATATGGTGTGAAAGCCATGATGCTTCGCTAAGGGGAAATTCTTCTGTTTCCGAGTGAGGAGTGGTGTTATCTTCCTTGGTTCCCCTCTTTGGACACAGCTTCACTCGGGATGCGTGAATCCAGATGTTGTGGGAATGTGTGAGGACAGAGGTTCTGGTTACAGCAATCACAGTAGCAGGTGGTCCGAAAGGGTATCCTCCTTTCTTGGTCCTATTCAGCTGATGGATATACACCTTGTCACCAGGCTGGTATGGATGAGTAGGTTCCTGTGAAGGTAAGGGAAACTGCGAAGAAACATTGCCTAGTATACCATTCAGTTTTATCAACAATTCCTGTACATATTGTTCTTGTATTAGCTGTAAATCCCCAGACATTATAACAAGCGGTTTCCTGGCCCAAGGTGTGGGAAAAGGTCGTCCCATCAGAATCTCAAATGGAGATAATTTAGTCACCTTGTGGGGAGTCATTCTTATCTCAGCTAAAATAGCTGGAAGATATTTGTCCAATTTACCCATGTTCCTGCAGTAGCTTTCATAAGCTTCTCCTTAATGGTCCTATTCATCCTTTCAACTACCCCTGAACTCTGTGGATGATAGGGTATATGAAACTTCCAGGTAACTTGCAAGAATTTAGCAAGTTCCTGGGTAACCTTACTGTCAAAAGCTGGGCCATTATCAGAGTTAATCTGCAGAGGGCAGCCATACCTGGGAATAATTTCAGTAGCAAGAATCTTCACTACAGTCCTAGCATCTTCCCTAGATGTCACAAAGGCCTCACGCCATCTACTAAACTGATCAACTATGACCAGTAAGTATTGCTGTTTCTTACCAATTTTGGGTACATGAGTAAAATCAATCTGTAAGTGTGTAAAAGGAGCAGCTGGAGGGGGCAAATGTTCGTGCTGTGACTTGTGTGGAATATTAGGATGTGTTCTCATACATGGTTCACACGATCTTACAAAAGACTGTACATGCTGCCTGAGATTCCTAATATAAAATGAATTTATGAGAAATTGGATGGTGCTTGCAATGCTTTTGTGACCGGGACCATGTGCCTGACTGATGAAAATAAAGCAGCTGGCTTCAGGTATGCCTATTCTCCCCTCTTTAGAGAAAAGATCATTCTGATCTTTCTCTAAACCTTTTTTAATCCAAAAATCAAAGTCAGATTGCGTTGCAAAGGCTTGGAGTTGCAAAAGCAAACTGTCAGTAGGGCATGTGGGAGGTGTGAGCATAGCAGGAAACATTTCATAGTAAAGAGTCTTGGCTGCAACTTCTTTTGTCACTTTGTCAGCCAAGGCATTACCTCTGGAAATGTTATCACTACCCAGAGTGTGTGCCTTGCAGTGGATAACAGCTACTTCAGATGGGAGTAGGATAGCATCTAGGAGTGATTGGATGAGATTTGTGTGTGAAATGGCTTTTCCATCGGCTCCTACAAAGCCTCTTTGTTTCCAAATCACACCAAAATCATGCACTACCCCATGAGCATATCGTGAGTCTGTGTAAATGTTCACTCGCTTTCCTGTGAAAAGCTGACAGGCACGTGTGAGAGCAATGAGTTCTGAAGCTTGTGCAGACAGCTGGAAAATAGTGTCAGCTTCAATGATTTTATCAGGTAACTGTACCACGGCATAGCCTGTGAGGTCCGTACCGCCATTTGGTCTGGAGCAAGAGCCATCCACAAAGACAGTGGTCACATCCTGGCCACTGAGTGCTGTGGAGGAGAGGTCTGCTCTGGGAGATGTGGCAATATGTATTTGTTCAATGCAATTATGAGACTCAGATTGTATAGACACAGAATCAGATGCAGAAGTGAGAATATATACAAAAAATAGTATATACACTACAAAATAGAAACGTATAACTGGAAGAATTCCTAGGTGTACCTCACAGACACCCAAGAAACAATGTGAAATAGTAAAAAGGTGGAAAACACCCAGAATACATGTAGGTTACTATATAAAATATACAACAACCTGATGGTGAGTGAAATCCATATGAATTCTGTATAAAAATCAGAAATCTGACATAGCGTGATACAGTAAAGGAGTTTTAACTTTATAAATATAAATGATTATAGATGCACTCACAAACGCACGTGAAATAGAGCTTCTCGCCCACTCAGGGGCAGTATGTAATCCGATGGATAAATTAGAGAATCACCTCATAGGATATATAAAAATAAAGGAAAAACAGAATAGTGAAGTTTGTTATAAAAAGTACAAAATCACATTTATTGGTCACACTTACATGTGTGTAAATCACAAAGAGCGTATCTCTCAATAACTTGAATAGGGATAAACAGGAGTAGTTATAAATGAGTAGCCAAAATATAAATATATACAAATAAAAAACAGTAAAAACAATATAAAGTAGGTCCAATATAGAAATCCAACGCGTTTCGTCCTGTAGGGTGTAGGACTTCATCAGGGATACTTCTATACTTCCATTTCTCCGGTTTAAATACCGGTAAAGATCTCCTTTTGATTGCGTTCATCTGTTATTCGGCGTGCGTTCCATCTGTGGAACGCACAAAGACGCAAGGATATGACGAAATTTGAAGAGACAGTTCCGTATTCCTACTGCGCATGCGCGCGAAAAGCGCGCATGCGCACATTAAAAAAAGATCGAGACCTGGACGGGATGTAAAACAGAAGACCAAAAAAACAGCCTGAGACATCTGAACAACAGAAATAAATCATTAGGGGCTGCATTGGAGGGTGTAGGCATGAAATAAAGTTACACATATGTCTCTAAATGGAAAAAATATAAATAATAAATAAAAAATATATATAAGAAATAAAAATAAAAATAAAAATAAAATAAAAAATAATAATAAAAAAATATTAATAAAAATAAAATGAAATGAATAAAAAATATATGGTACTGAAAAAATATAAGAAAAAATCTATATATACATATAGACATACATCCTACAATGACAACATTGCATGGAGTTCCAAGTTATTGAGAGATACGCTCTTTGTGATTTACACACATGTAAGTGTGACCAATAAATGTAATTTTGTACTTTTTATAACAAACTTCACTATTCTGTTTTTCCTTTATTTTTATATATCCTATGAGGTGATTCTCTAATTTATCCATCGGATTACATACTGCCCCTGAGTGGGCGAGAAGCTCTATTTCACGTGCGTTTGTGAGTGCATCTATAATCATTTATATTTATAAAGTTAAAACTCCTTTACTGTATCACGCTATGTCAGATTTCTGATTTTTATACAGAATTCATATGGATTTCACTCTCCATCAGGTTGTTGTATATTTTATATAGTAATCTACACTTATTCTGGGTGTTTTCCACCTTTTTACTATTTCGCAGAAGTGAGAATAGCATTCAAAACAGACATAGGACCAGAATTAACAGGACTATAGACAATAGACAGATTCTGGGTATTAAGAAGAATAATCTCATAACCACTTAAGCGCTGGGCTGTCATGTGTTGTGTGGTGAGATTTTTTATAAGCTGAGTGACCTGGTGACTGGTATGGAGTATTGTAGGATGCCCTAGTGTGATAGTAGTAGCAGTCTCAACAGCCATTGCACATGCAGCCAATGCTCTGAGACACGCCGGCATACCCTGTACTGGAGCTGGAACTACTTTGGAAAAGAATGCTATGGGACGCATACCGCCTCCGTGCTCTTGTGCACAGACCGCGGCCATGGTTTTACAGTTGTCCCGAGCATACAAATGAAATGGTTTACAATACACAGGTAGTCCTAAAGCCGGGGCTTGCACAATAGCAACTTTGAGGGCAATATATGCAGCTAGCATGTCTGGTGACCAGCAGACATTTTCAGGGCTGTCAGAACGTACAGCCTCCCTTAGGATTGAGTCATAATGGAAGCATTCAGGAATCCACCGGCGGCAGTAATTAATCCTGCCGAGGAAGGTGAGCAACTCCTTCCGAGTAGTGGGTTTAGGAATCCTCTGAATGACCTCAAAACGTTTTGGACTCAATTGTCTGGTGCCTGAAGCCAGAACAAAACCTAAGTAATCAACCTTTGATTTACACAATTGCATTTTGTGTTTTGCAACCTTGTGACCCACAGTTGCTAAGTGTTTGAGCAAACTGACAATATCCACAGTGCTTTCCTCATAGCTAGGGCTACATAACAACAAATCATCAACATATTGCAAAAGGACCAGGGGTCCATGTTTTTAGAGCATGTTGGAGTACCAGCAAATAAACGGCTGGGGAATCCACATAGCCTTGGGGTAAGCGTGTCCAGGTAAACTGACAGCCTTCAAAAGTAAAAGCCATAAGTAGCTGTGTCTCTTGATCAATAGGTATAGAAAAAAATGCATTACTTAAATCAATGACAGTGAAGCAAGTGGCATCATGTGGAATGGCTGTAATGAGGGATATCACATCAGGGACAATGGGTGAAATGGGCAGAATTAAACTATTCAGGGCTCTAAAGTCCTGAACTAAGCGATAACCATTACCTTTAGGAACTGGATTAATAGGTGTGTTATATGGGGAAACTATTGGCTTTAGTATTCCCTGCTCTAGAAAAGATTGGATCATGGGGCGAACTCCCTCAACCTTGGCTTCTGACAGGAGGTACTATTTAAGGTAGATAGGAGTTACATCTGGTTTTAGTTTGGCTTTGTAAGGGGTGCAGTTGACAAATCCTACATCTAACTTAGATGAAGCCCACGCAGAGGAAGGAACATCAGACAAATCAATAGTTTCAGAACACAACATAGACACATCAATACCACCAGAGGGCGTGCAAGTAATGGTAGCTCCCAGAATACCAAGAAGATCCCTTCCCAGCAAACTAACAGAACATTTAGGTATTTGACGAAAAGGGTGCACAGTAGAAGAACCATTAAGAGGACAGAAAACAGACAGTGGTGGTGTGACAAAAGTGGGTGTTGACACTCCATTAATACCCAATGAAGGTGTAGACTTTTCCCTTGTCCCCTGATAATAGATGTCACAGAGACTGGAACACGTAGCTCCAGTATCTACCAAAAATGGCAAGGATCTACCTTCTATGACCAGAATGCAAAAAGGCTGATCATCATTAGTAGAGGACAAAAGTGGAAATGTTGGAGTGTCACCTCAAGGCAGCCCTATTGGGGCCATGGGATGTTATGGGTGTGCTGGTCAGTGGTACCTGTGAATGGCCCTAGTGCAGTTTGGGTTTGCTGGAGCGAGGGGGGAGAGGGAAGTGCTGGCCAGTGGTGTTGGGAGTGGGCCTGGTGTTGTTCTTGCCTACCGGGCCTATTTTGAGAATTGTGGGGTTGTTGGGGCTGCTGGGGTTTCCTGGGGTGTGGACACTCATTCCTCCAGTGTCTATGCTGGACACAGTTGAAACAAGTGTTCCTGTCTATTCCTCCTTGGTTACCCCTGCCCCTATAACCCTGATTTCCCTGTCTCCATCCCCTTGCCCATCTTTGACCACCCCTTCCACGGGCTCTATGTGCTCCATCCCATCCTCTCTCTCGGGCCTGTGTAGGTGGACAGTGTTGCAATCCCTGAGCATAATAAGCAACCTTACTTCCTGAATCTTTTCTTAAGTCAAAACAACCTCTATAACCTTGGTAAGAAAAGCTGAGCCACCCAAATTGGCCCAGTCTGAAATCAATTGTTTCACAAGGAATACTGTGGCAACATATTACCAAGGCATGACTGTATTTTAAGGAGATCCATATCATCTCCAGACTTCAAACCTGCCTCATCCTTCCAACACTTGTAAAATCTCTTTACAAAAATACCAGTCTCTTCCTTTGCACCTTGCTTACATGCCAAAGCAGTGGATATAGACTGCTTATTCTTCCATAATCTCAACATTTCAGCTCGTCCCACATTTTAGCACATCCTACTAAAGTACTAAGCTCATAAACACCATCACTACCAGCCTCTCCAACTCCAGTATCATTGTCTGTCTCACTGACAGAGGGTATCCTAGACCAATCCCAACCAGAATCTGAGTCATACCCTAATATTCCATTTATAATTAACTGTATGTCTATCTGTGTCATGCTCTGTCCTAAGCACATTCTTTTCAGATAAGTTAGGCATGCAGAGGGATTAGGCATGCAGAGGGATTAGTACGGGGGTTTGGGGCACCTTGAATATTGTCCTTGAGTACTCTGGGATTAATGGGTTTCATTATTAACTGATTACCAACAGTCATGAACGGGGCAGTAAGATCAGCACCTTCTAATTCTGGCATCTCTACATCATCATCACCTTGCTTATGTACATATGATTTTAACACCTTGCCACTTTTAAGTTTAACTCCCGTCCTGTTAATGCTGTGATTGTGAATTAACAGCTGCAGCAATACAAATATCTTCTATATCATCCTCTGAGGGGGCATTAGGTACAGCAGGATACATTGCATTATAGGGAGGTGTGGGTTGTGGTTGGGCATGGCCAGGGGCTGACTGGGTAGGGGGCAGAATTGGTGGTGGATATAGATTTTCAGGAGGGGCTTCTAAGGGAAAGCGGATGGTATTACTGTCAACAGTTCCCTTTCTCTTAGCCAGGTCTTTCTTAGCTCCCCTTAAAACCTTTCCTGTTACACTACAAGGAAACCAATGAGGGGCTATCTGCAACCAATTTTCACCTCCTGCTTTCATATACTCCTTATCCCAATCTGGATCAGGACCATACCACGGCCATGACTTCCTATCTCCCAAACACAATCCTCGAATCATATTCATATGGAAATCATTATTAGCCCCACACCTGGGAAAAGGATCAGATGACTTCATAGTCTGTGTCCATCCTGCTAAATTTGACACAAAGTGGATTGTAAGAAATCCTCCTTGTGCTCCTATTCTAGTAACATAATTTAGACATGACTCCCCTGGGTGGGGTAAAGGGTAAGAAATAGACTGATTATTTCCCATATTTCTGGCTCAGGGTAGAAACACTACCTACTTACCAATAGTGTGTCTCTACTTAACAAGCAAAATAAACACAAAGCAGACACAAAGCAGACAGAGGAACAAGAAGTTTGGGTTATTCTAGATCTATAAACCGTGTTTCCTAGAACACCTATAGTCTCAAAACATGTATCTACCTGAGATACCCTGTATCTATCTTAGATACTAACCTGGGTTACCAAGAACCCTATACTAGACCAACTGTCCAGTAAAAACTGGAGACCTATTTACAGTCTCAATATAACTAAAGTCCTTACACCTTTCCTATCTACTGGACACAACCTACTGAACCAAAGGGGGTCATAGACAATCAGCGTCAATAAGACACAAAAAGGCTACTTACCCAATGGTCCTGCTGTAATCCCACTTCAAACACCAAGCTGAAAGGGTTAATGCTGTTCTGGACTCAACTTCCCTCGATTCTCGATTCTCCGGTCACCACATAAATTGACGGGAGTTCTTGTTTAGCAAATTAAGACACAGACATGAAAGAGTGCTTAATAAGTTCTCAGTGAGTATATTTTCAAGGCTAGCATTTATACACAGTTTGTCACGCAAGCAGCGAGATTTATCGTTTCCTTGTAGTTAATAGTACATACTTGTCTGACATTAAAAGATAAGCATTTGAATAAAGACGGGACAGGAACATCCTGAGGTCGAGTGAGGTCATACATCCTGTAGAAGGGAGGCCTCTCAAAAGCATGTTATAGAATATATCTGCCAAGGTCAGCATAATTATTTCAAACATTATTTGAAATCATATAAAGCAAAAAGAGTTAACTATTGCATATCCTTACATGGGGGGCAGCCTATAGATTAGGGGAGTGAGGCATGGGGGGCAGCCTATAGATTAGGGAAGTGAGGCATAGGGGCAGCCTATAGATTAGGGGAGTAAGGCATGGAGGGCAGCCTATAGATTAGAGGAGTGAGGCATGGAGGGCGGCCTATAGATTGGAGGAGTGAGGCATGGGGGGGCAGCCTATAGATTAGGAAAGTGAGGCATGGGGGCATCCTATAGATTAGGAAAGTGAGGCATGGGGGCAGCCTGTAGATTAGGGGAGGGAGGCATGGGGGTGTGATTAGGGAGTGGGAGGCATGGGGGGGCCTATAGGAGAGGTGAGGCATGGTGGTCAGCCAATAGATTAGGGGAGTGAGGCACGGGCCTCATAGATTAGGGAGTGAGGCATGGGGGCAGCCTATAGATTAGAAAGTGAGGCATGGGGCACCTATAGATTAGGGAGGGAGGCATGGGGCAGCCTATAGATTAGGGAGTGAGGCATGGGGGCAGCCTATAGATTAGGAGAGTGAGGCATGGTGGTCAGCCAGTGGACTACGGGAGTGAGGCATGGGGGCAAACATAGTGGGAGTGAGGCATGGGGGGCAGCCCTCGATTAGGGAGGGAGGCATGGGGGCAGCCTGTAGATTAGGGAGTGAGGCATGGGGCAGCCTGTAGATTAGGGGAGGAGGTTGGGGGCAGTAGATTAGGGAGGAGGCATGGGGCAGCCATAGATTGGGAAGTGAGGCATGGGGGGCAGCCTATAGATGAGGGAAGTGAGGCATGGGGGGAAACCTAAATATGAGGGAGTGAGACATGGGGGACAGCCTATAGATTAGGAGAGTTAGGCATGGTGGGCAGCCTATAAATTAGGGGAGTGAGGCATGGGGGGGCAGTTTATAGATTAGGGGAGTGGGGCATGGGGGGCAGCCTATAGATAAGAGGAGTGAGGCATGGGGGCAGGCTGTAGATTAGGGGAGTGAGGAATGGGGGGGCAGGCTGTAGATTAGGAGAGTGAGGCATGGGCAGCCTATAGATTAGTGAAGTGAGGCATGGAGGGCAGCCTATAGATTAAGGAAGTGAGGCATGGGGGGGCAGCCTATTGATTAGGGAAGTGAGGCATGGGGGGCAGCCTAAATGAAGAGTCAGCAAGGAGCAGGAAGGTAAAGTAAGAAAAGGAGCAGAAAGGAGAAGGAACAGGAAGGGTCTGCAAGGAGCAGGGGCAGGAAGGGTCTGCAAGGAGCAGGGGCAGCAAGGAGCAGGAAGGGTCTATAAGGAGCAGGGGCAGCAAGGAGCAGGAAGGGTCTGCAAGGAGCAGGGGCAGCAAGGAGCGGGAAATGTCTGCAAGGGGCAGGAAGGGTCTGTAAGGAGAAGGGAGGGTCTGCAAAGAGCAGAAAGGGACTGAAGGAGCACAAAGGTAAAGGAGCAGAAAGAATCATAAGGAGCACAAAGGTAAAGTAGGAGAAGGAGCAGAAAGGGACAGCAAGGAGCACAAAGGTAAAGTAGAAGAAGCAGCAGAAAGGGTCTGCAAGGAGCAGAAAGGAATCAGAATGGGAAAGGAGCAAAAAGGCGCAAAATAAGCAGAAATTAGCAGAAAGGTAAAGGAGCAGAAGGAGCCAAGGATAGAAGACAGTGTCAGAAGAAAAAGAAGACTGTCAAATGAAAAAGAAGAAGAGGAGATTGGAGCAGGAAGGACAAATGAAGTGAACCCTCCACTTTATTCTGGACACCACATCATAAGGCTTTGGTACCTGGGCCTGGCAGGGAAACTCTGGACCTTCTCATCTCCCGAGGTAAAAAAATATATCAGTGTTAATGTGTTCACTTTTATTTACTGAGTGTCAGTAAGCACAGAGTGCCGCTGGGTAGGGGTGTTGCTGATTGGCTAGAGCGGTCAGCTGGCACTCTAAGCCAATCAGTAGCTCCCCATTCATAAAAAAGTAAAACATTTTTATGAACCGGGAAACTAGCGATTGGCTCAGAGCATCAACTGTCCACTCTAGCCAATCAGCGGCACCCATGCCTGACGTCAATCTGCACTTCCTGACACTCCGTTTCAGATGCCGAATACCAATGAGAGACCTGGAGCTGGAGGAAGCCTTTGGGGTTAAACTATTTGAGAGCGGTTTAACCCAATAAAGGAAAGAGAGCACCCAGGGCCTTCCTGGCATCATAGCAATTAAATTTAGATGAAGTTGTTATGGTGACCAGAATGTTCCTTTAATTTTCTTAAAGGAACACTGTAGTGTCAGGAATACAAACATGTATTCCTGACACCATAGGTGTGAAAACGCTATTCACCCTGGCTTTATGTGATAATGACTATGCTCCTCCCCTTCATGGCACTGTCAAAAAGGGGCTAAGCATGGATGTCACTACAATTATGCCCCCCTTGGAAAAATTCTTGCGGACGCCCATGCATGTGAGTACTGAACTTTACTTAAACATCCTGTAGCTTCTACCACACTATTTCGCAAAATCACTGATAAAGTAAAGAGTGTACAATTGCTAGGGATTGAACGCTGATTGGCTAGATCAGTGTTCCCCCTTAGGAAGGCATGGAGAATGCAGGGACCAGGAAGCAGGTAAATGTGAAAAAAACACATTTGCTTGTTTTTTCCTGCTTGCACGATGAATGTGCCTTTAATAAACAACTGTCCTCAAATTTTCACTTCTTGTTTTTAAAAAAGGTTAATACATTTTTTTTTATTATGTATATTGATTTTTTTCTTTTTCTTTTTTTTTTTTTAAATCTGTCTGAGCAGCCATATTGGGTCAAACTTAAATGGTATCTGACCAACTGCTGCTCTGCCTGACACAACTGCTGTAATTGTTGTGTGCAAAACTGCAGTAGCAGCAAGTTAAGTTGATCAGCATTTGGTCAGATAATGGAAGAGTTTGACTCAACATGGCTGCTCAGCCAGATTAAAAAAATGTGATTTTCTAAAAAGTAATTAATTTTTATGAAATGTAATAACCTTTTACAAAAAAAAATATGAAGTAAAACTTTGATAGGCGTCACTGTCTTTGAATGAAAGGTCATACCCAGTGAATCTCGTTCCCAAGAACATAAATTAGGCAGAGAGACAGGCAGACAAACAGAGAGAGAGACTGATAGACATAAAGACAGACATTTGCAGTGTTATGGTTAATTATCATTACTAGTGGCTCGATTTCCCTAGAATCTTGAGAACCCTAAACTCTTAAAGGAGTTAGCATACAAAATGAGTAGAAGTATAAAGAGTGGGGAACAAGATGTGGAAAAGAAAGAGGAATTTAACTACATATACAGAACTGCACCCAGGTGTCAGTAACCCTTGGCTCACAAAGATTAACAGCAGTCTCAATTAAATAAATATAATTAATCAATTTATTGGAAGTTGCTGTATCTGAAATGGTGCTCTGAACTGCATTTAGTGAAAACCTAAATTGCAATTTATTGGGTCAAATTCTGTGAATTTTTCTGAACTCTGAAATTTAGCAACAGTTACTGCACTTGTGTGACTAAAATAAACAATACAAATATTTTGACAGCAGACGTGGGAGGAATTTCTCATGGCAAAAGCAGGCACTATTCTGGGGCAAAGTGCTAAATAAAATGCAATCACCATGGAAACGAATCTAAAGTCTTTCTACAGTTTGCACCCACGCGAGTGCCTATTCTGCAGTACATTTCGCTCATATTTTGTTAAACTGTTAATATGCAAATTAAGAAGTGAGAAGGAATATCTGTAACAGGAGACTTTCCTCCAGGAACACGATACTTTAAGCCATATGAGTTCATGAATAATATATCACAGAAAAGCTGGCAAGGAACTAGCAGTGCTAGAGCTTGTGTTTCCCTTTCGCAGAAAGTTATTATATTTTACAAAACCACTTCTCTTGTTGACTTACTGCATGTACTAAAAGCATGCCAAGTTATGACAGTGTGAAAGTTGCTGTACGGGTGAGGCCTTTCAGTAAGGTGAGTGGCTTTATTTATTTTTCTTCTCCCAATGCTTCTGTGTTTATCTCTATTTTTCTAGATATAGATAGTTTTCTAGCTATAAATGAGGATTTAAAATAAAAAATGGTCAAATCATTATTGGTATTTGGAACTAGAGACAAACAGGACGTTCATATAGAGAAATAATCAGTGGTAATGTGAAACAGAATGGAGTATTCTATTAGTTTCCATGACAACTGCTCTCGGTACTAATCCCCCAATAAGTTTGCTTTAAAAGGTTTCTATTGCAATAAATAGGTTTGCGTTGCATTGGCAATAGCTGTCATTTTAAATAGAATGCAACATAAATATCAGCAAACACATATTTTCAAGTACATGCTTTTTGCCATCTAAAATGTAAAGGAATGTGGCAGTGTACAAATTATATAGCTGTATTTTTTCTTATATTCCCATAGATGCCAAAAGTCCAGATTTTGAAAGGATAGTCCTAAATTTTGGGGTACTGTTTCAGCAAATTTAGGTCCTGGGGATCTGTCCCATATTTTAAATCTGCCAGCAGATTTCAAAACGCAAGAGGGGACTGGGCACTAAGACCATGGATGAAGTGCTTTAGCAGTGCTTCATGCGTGGTCTGCTGGAGGGGCAAGCATACAATCAGCCTAGACACACCCATTCCTGGACAGGCCTAACACTTTTGGCAGATGGACCAACCCCCTTTAACTCCTAACAATCCCACCTGGACATTTGTGCTCTCCCCTGTCCCTGGGAGGTGGACAGGAAATGTTGGGGGGGGTATGTATTCATTGGAATTTTCTATGTTCAAATTCTATTATCTTATTATTTGCAGCACCGTGTCTACCGTGTTTCCCCGAAAATAAGATATCCACCGGAAATAAGCCCTAACTTATTTTCGGGGGATGCTCCTAATATAAGCCCTACCCCAAAAATAAGCTCTAGTTGCTAGTTCGCTAATTGATGTTCAGGGAATTTTCCTTGAACATAGATTCGCGGGATTCCATTCGTGAGTAAACTAATCTATGTTTGGGGAAGTTT